ATTGTGTTAAATGTCATTCACCCTCCATTTTGCTTTCCTGTAACCTGCAAAATCAGAACCCCAAATGACCAGAGGCTTAAAGGGCTCTTTTCTGAGTATGTATACCTAGCTGAATAAGTGCAGTAAGTATGAAGTGAGTTAGTTCTACCTCCATTGCACAAATAAAGGACTTTATATATATGTAAATACAATGGCTGAACTGGCTAGGTACAGCAGCAAATCTGCCCTTTAGTTACAGATGCTATCTTTGCTCTGGAGAAAGGAATTTGTTTTCTGAGCTTTTCATGCAGCTACCTTGATAAGTGAGCACTGAATACTTTAGAAAAATATCCATGTGTGTGTAATAGGCAAAGGAAAAAAATGAAACATAACACCAAATTTACAAGAAAAAAAGAGAACAGCTAAATACCACAAGGTTAGAGTTAGGATAAAGTTTCAACATAAAGTAACTGAAATTTTAAAAACATATTCAGTAATTCACGGTGTCTCATCTTGAGCAAGTTAAAATAGACATAATTTTTAAGAACAACTCAAGCACAGCATCCCCCTTAGGACCCAAAAATGCTTGCAGTCATTCATGTTACATTTAATAGACAAGTTGCAGAAATAATGCTTGTTATGTGCATTCTTTTCCTCTGGAATGGGAGGGAAACAGGAATTATAAATATTTTACCTGCTTGAAAGCTCATGGTTTGTTGCTTTTCTTTTAAGCAAATCCTAGCTTATCTCTTTGAAAATGAAAAAGGACAGTGAAATGATAAAAGGAGGAAGCGGTGATGTACTTGGAGTATAGAAGAGATAAAAGTCAACAGAGAGAAAGGAGTAAAACCAATTGAAAGCAGAAGCTGCAAAAAGTATGCAGGGAAAAGCACAGAAGCACCAACATGAAGAAACAAAGATAACAAGGCATGGCTCAATGTCAAAAGCTATGCAGGTCAAAATGTATGACATATGTTTGCTTTTGGAGACCTAAGATTTGCTGATTTGGAGAAATGTATTTCTCCCCTGGAGAGTATTCCAAAGTATATGAGATAAAGTTCTGGATGAATGGGTGTCAAAAGTGAAATTAAAGGAAGGGGGAGGGAATCACATTGGAGAAACAAGTGAAGCCAAAGGATAAAGGACAATTGTTTATGTTAGCATGACGCTTTCCAAGGAATTAGCAGTCAAAATCATCTCTTTCCTACTTCCCCTCTTCACTGTGTGCAACCAGGGAATGACTTGGACCATGAGTACCTATTTTCTAGTTTCCAAACCCAAAAGGAACAAAATAATTTATTTCAATCATAGGAAAAAAAAAGATCAAACAACTCCAAGAACATACAGGGTATCTTCCTCTTCAATCGCAGTTTGCCCTTACACTTCAGACACATAAGGCACATGCCCATTTCAAAACCACTTTGTTCCACATGTAGACAAAGGACTGAAAGACATTTCTGTCATATTCAATAAATAGCTGGTTAATGAGAAGCATCATAACCAAATAAGCCAATAATGGCAATGACATTTTACAACTCAGGATGTTATCAACTGATCAATAAATAGTAACTTCACGGCACTAAAAATAAACTAATAGAAACTTCTTCAAAGTAACATTTTATTAAAAGACTTCCCCTTTTTCTAACACTGACAACCTTCTGCAGTTGCAACATCACTAACATACTGAATGCCATTCTCATAGTATTTAGTTTGGGTTTTAATTAGCCTTCAGAGGATGAGTAATAATTTTTCAATGCAAGTGCTTTCTAAAGACCAAAATCTACCTTATAATTATAAAAATAAAATACCATTGCCACCCTCTACTTTGATTTTCCTTAAAAGGATAGTGCAAGTGATACAAGAATGACTCAAGACCAGTACATAGGAGAATTTCTACAGTTATATTATATAAAGCCCAAGATTCTTCCCCACTTCAAGACTGCCAGTTAGAATAAGCACCAGCTATATATGAAAATGCTGTAGCTTGACTAAAAATGTTGTCAATCACGTATGGTTACACTGTAAATAATCTCAAAGACCTGACAGAAGTTGCAGAACTCAACTCTGGTAGAGCACGTAACTCAGTAGTAATGAAATCAGAAGGTGACGAACAGCCAGCCGCTCATCCTGCTTTAGCAGTTCTGAATCATACAGCTGCAGAGAAAATTTCTCTCTGAAGGGTCGAAGTGTTAAAACATACAAATAAACTGTAAATAGTTATTTGATAAATCAGTTTTACAATCATGACCATAAAACAGTACAGTTTTGATCCTACATTTACACTTGCCTTCAAAGGCTATGCTGAAGATGACAAGACTGCACACAGATGCAAGTGTCAGCCCACACAGAAAAGCTTTACAAAACTAGGCAAACAGAATACAGTAGCACCCAATCCTGATGCAATACTGTCAGGTTACACCTTTAATACCCCTTCAAAACCAGAAAAGTAAACACTCTTCTACTGTAGATACCATTATTGACTGTGTTATTTCAACTACTCACATGATATTCAAGCTTCATAATGTCTGCAGAAGATTTACGATTAATAAATCCCTCTAAAGTAATCTGAAGCCCACTAATGACAATTCATCTGCTGAGCTCACATATGCATTTAGCCACTGGTTACCTGCTGTGCATTTTTACCTTCTTTACTGCTACCAGTGCTGTTAAGATGATCTGCATTTAACAGGTACAATTCTGGGTTCGGTAACGTCACTATCTTCTTGCTTGAAGACACCAAGTAATAAATGACCTTTGTTTTTCAACTGTATCACTTAGAAAAGCAAACATAATTCCTGTAGGCAGCACTGAACCTCAGTTATAAATAACAGCTCCTATTCGAGAAAAAAAGTAACATGAAGATTTTTTCCCTGCCACAAATCAAACTACAATAATTTAAAATAGGTAAAGTAGCACTAATCCTTTAAAAGTAATTCAATTACTGTTATAATAAAGCATTTTAGAAGTATAAACACCCTTGTACTTGGTGCTTAAATAAAAATAGGTAAATAAAAGTCAAACTGTATTGCTCATATCGAATGCCTAATTCTTCATTGCCATACATAGTTAATTTAACTACTCCAACATAAGTGCAAAAATCAGTGTATTTGATTTGCTGTTGCTGTGTGTTCACTTTACATAGATGAGAAGGACTCTTTAGAGCAACAGTGAAAAAAGCCCTAGAAGGACAACACAGGCTTGCTTAAAAAAAAATACAACCCAAACCTCCAAAGCAAACATAGCATAAACTAAGACCAAACTCACACACAAGTTCTCATCACAAACAGAAACTAATGCCGTTACCTAGTGGTGGCAAGCTAGGAACATGCAAACTAGTACGGCTCTTTAGTTCTTTTCTCCTCACTTGGAATTCTCATCTACCAGCTATTAAACGATGTCAAGAGAACAAAAACAGACCTAATTCATAAACTAAGGAAAGACACTGTTTTTCTTGCATTCAGTTCTGCGACAAAAGGTCAGTATTTTTGCACCCACCAGTTTTGATTTTCAGAGTAATTATCACTGAAGAAGCTACATCATTTCTTGGCCATCCCAAACCTGTTGTTTTACACTCCTCATGAAACATCAGCAAGACCTTTTATACCTGTGGTACAAATGCACTTCAACGTTAATCCTCAAACATTAGTTTTTCAGAGAGTATGATAAACCAAACTGTATCATGCACCCCTCAGCATCTTATCAGATCACATTTTCAATTATATAAACCAGTATTAGCTGAATTCAGTCACCATTCTCTATGACACCTAAATAAAAATGTTTATTTTGCTTTCAGTCAGAAAATAAATAACTAAAGGAGAAGAAATAAGATATGAAGACTTTAACATAACTTACTCAAATGCAAAGAAGAGTCCACTGGTGACCAAGATGAGAACAAGAGTCAGGTAGAAGACTCCAGTCTGTCGAGCCATCATGATCCTCCCATTGCAGAAGAATTTGTTTCTTCCAGGAAAAACCTCCCATTTTCTCTTGGGAACTGATTTCTTTTTCTTATGGGGAGACTCCATGGGAGACGAAGAACTGTGCGTGCTGATCTGACTGTATTCGCAGTCTTTCATGGGCCCACTACCACCTCCAGGAGTCATCAAGAAGGAATAAAATGTGGGGAGAACCCCACCAAAAATATATACAATATATATATGTGCAAATATTCTTCTGACCAAGACAGCCCTCTACACTAGCCCCAGTTAATAAAAAATGCAAACAAAATGATGAAAAGTCTGCTACCAGACTAGCAATAGGTGTATCATGCAAACACCAGTTAACTCTTCAGAAACCAAA